TTTTTTTTTTCCTACTTTTCATGTGATTGATTTTATCATTTATCATGACAAAGCTGACAGTCCATCCATAGGCAAGGTTTGTAGTTTATAATAACCATGCCACCAAAAAGCATAGTCTAAACTGCATGAAACTATGCAACAAAGAACAACTATGGGAACTGTACACGAAAACGTGTATTACAGTAAATTGACAATATTAGATTTTAGTTATTGCATGTGTACAGAAGAATCTCTTACCTTCTCCATGTATTGTGAGCAATTTGATTCTTGCAATAAATTTGAAGCTTCTTGTTTGTAATACTCCCCTGTTTCATTCAGAAAAGGACACTCAAAAATTTCCTGATAAAACTAAAAGGGAGAATTTTATTTTACAGGACAAATAATATACATACTAGATTAACATTCAAAATTACAAACATAGATCAGAACCATCTACCTTTAGGGGGAATTTTTTCTTATACTGTTCAACATGAACAAAGGAGTTAATAACCCCATGGATTACTTTCTGGTTTGGGTCTTCTCCACAGCGATCACTGAAACAGACAAAGCAAACATTCATGAGAATGTAGGTATCTAGCGTAACTCATATCTGATAGTTGAATGAAACATTACTGGATGCAAACATTTTCCAGTAAGTGCCTCTGCTTAGATTGGTAAAATTGAAGATGATTAATCTTAAAATAAAAATGCACTCTTCTTTCTCTTCTACATATTTAAATTGTTCAGATAACAATTCATAAGTTATTCAAAAGCATTTGCAGGGCATGAAATTTCCAAGTGTTTGCTCAGGATGTAAGTATTCCAAATCACATACTCTAAGCAACTACTTTAAAAGTTACAACAAGCTCCAGCTTGTACCTGTAGCCTTTATCAAACAGACTACCTTCACACTCCTGCCCCTGCCAAAACCCATCATTTTTGTCAATATCACACCAAGAGGCATGCTATATTCTTTTCTGAGTATCTACTATTCAACATGTAGATGTCAAGTAGAACAACCAACACACTTGGCGCATTGTCACAATTTTTAATCATACATCGGAAAAGGAAAACTTTGTTTTCCAGTCAAGTTCTTAGCTTCAAATGGGTGAGATCAAGTAAAGAAAATATTGTCTTGAGTCCCATTCAGTCGAAAACAAAGGTAACTAAAACAAGTCTTTGACATGCCAAAAACTTCAAAACTGTTCAGACCTTTGCAAAGACTGGAAATAACAGACCCACACTCACAGCAGCAGAGACTTTCTTAAAATGTCAACTGTTCTAAAAGAGACACCTTTCACATACACTTCACAAAGAAGCAATAAATACTGCTTAACTCCTAAGGTGTTAAATAGGACTAAAATATGATTTATAAAAGTATATTTACACTTAAGCATCAGCAGTAGTAATTTCAAAGGTTTTTCTTTTTTAAACACATGTACACATGCACGTATATAGAATAAGAACTTTTTCTTTACCCAGACTACACTGAAAAGACAAGTTCTTTGTTAGAAACTTACATTGGTGTAGGAGAGTAATTTACATCAGTGATTTAAAAAAAAATTTAAAAAGTAAAGCCAGCAAGAATACTTCAAACCCAAACATTACCATATAGCCATCTAGGCTGGGGTAGAATGCGGAAGAATTAATTTTTCTAATTTCATTCATTTTGGTTTAGAATTGATAAAAACTCCAGAGGATGCTCATGAGCTAGGGAGGTTTACCAGGCCAGCCACACTGGCAGTCATCATATTACATACACCAGACCATATTCATATGTTCACAACACTGTCAATTATATATATTGCTTTTAAATACTACTGTGTCCTAAGACCTGAAAACTTAAGGTCATGATGGGTGGAAAGAACTAGCTCTCTAACAGATTACAAGCAACCACTGTATGGTTTATGCAGCTTGGTCACCCATTACAAATGCGCTGACCTAATGGGTATCTGCTCCAGCAGGGATGGTCTGGGTCGGTTTGTTTTGTTTTTCCCTGGGAGACAGGAAGGTTTCCCTTGGTTCTGGTAATTGAACCAAAGAATACATCTGAGTTCGGGTACATGTAATCACACCTTGTGTTCTTGCCAATGTCCCTCTGCTGGGTCTGGTTATATGACGGCAGAGGCAGCAGCACATCACAAAAGGGAAGTGTAACACCAGACCAGGGCCTGGACCCAGCTTCACCTGGAGTGGCCCAGAACCACGGTGAACTGCAGGATGCATGCAGCCTACGAACATAGCACCTTGTCATGGAGTGCAGGAAGCTACATAACTAAAAGCCTATTACAAAGCAGGGCTCTGCCAAGAGACAGTCCAGTCCACCTCTAGCACGCAGGGTTCTGGACCTGGAAAGATACTGGTGACACAAACACAAGAAGCACTACTGTAATAAGAGATGAAGACCCAGCTCCCCTCTGCTCAGTTCACAGGCCACTTCACAGACCTTAGCCCACACAGATGCAGGAGGAGAGGGGGCAGCAAAGGTCGGGCCCAAGGGATTCAAAGGTCAATGTATCATTGGGAAAAAGCTGTAAAACTACAGGAGGTAGATGCTCTACAGAAGAGCTGCGAGGGAGGAGACAGGCTTTCAAAGCAGAGGTCAGACAGCATGAAGACTATAGACGAAAAGGAACACAACATGGCACCAGCCTTGTCTGCCTTTTGGGTAGCTGGCAGTACATAGAAAGAATTTAAATCCACTTCTGAATACAGAGACAGTGAGGATGAGGTTGCCAATCAAATGACAAGTTCGGAACAACTGCCAGGATCATGTAAGTATTTCTTATTTTTTTTAACAGGTGCCCACGCTCCCCAATTTTTTCCCCCCACACTTGCAGAATTTTTAGTAGTTTAACATAGGTTTCTTCAGTGGGTATTATACATTTACAGCAAAGTTGTCACAAATTTTATTGACAGAACTGTTACGAACTTCATCATGAACCTATCTGAAAAGCTACACTACTTCCAAGATAAATAGCATATGTCACAAAACTATCACTCTTCCCACTTTGGCAGCATCTTCAGGTTTTTGTTTACACCAATGGCACTCTGCTCACAAGAATTTGTAATGCAAATGGCTAGTTTCAACAAAATTTGACAGAAGTTTCAAGAATTATTTTCATGAAAGTTGTAACAACAGTAATAAGAGTGTCTGCCAAACTGAAATGAGAAAAATCAGTGACCCCACCAAGGTGGAAGTCTACTCAGTATACATTTTCCCCTTCATGGCAGTAGTCAGCAAGCAATATGGATGCATACAGCTACTGAGCAGCTGCTGCACAGTTTGAGTCAGGGATGTCACAGGACATCCTGGGAGGGTAGAAAGGAATGATGTTGTTTGGCGGGGAATCTGGACAAAAAAGATAAAGCACTAGAAACACAAGTTTGACTAATTCTGCTAAGTTTCTTTTTTCAAAAGAAATGGGGAAACTTACAAAACACAAGCTCAAGAACATTGTGCTGTTTTATATTAACTCCACCTTCTTCCTATCTTAAGGCTAAAGCTAACAACAGAAGTTTAACACGTATCATACGTACCATACAGTGTACAACTATACCCCATAGAACATATTTAAAGTTTAAGGTACAACAATAAATACTGTATTCATTAAAAGAAAATTCCATCATTCAAAAGAAGTGCTCTGCTGTGTCAAACCAATGGCCTATTGAGACCAATTACCTACAGAATTCACTGTGACCTAAAGAGCCTGTCTTGAAGATTTTTAAAAGAGTTATTAACTTCCAAGAGGTTTCCTTTCAAACAAATGGTATAAATAATGTATCAGCTTAGATAGGAATAGGTTCAGTTAGTTAGAAAGTGTTAGTTATCTTTAGTAGAGAAGCCTCTCCTGGTTAGTCTGTACTCATCACACTGTCATTTGAGATAGCACCTGAATGATTTCCAAATTATTTCTGTTTAAGAATTTCATAGATGAATTTTCTCACAATTCAAGATCTTGCCGGCTTCCTGTTGTGTTGAAACAAAAATGCGTAAGTTGATATTCAGCTTGCCTTGTAGGAGGAGTGCTTGGGCTAGAGGGAGGGGGAAGAAAGTGTGTTATATTCAGAACTCCGTTTTAAGAGAAGCGCAGTCAGACAAGACAGGCTTAAGTGATTTAAGAATTCTCTGCTCTTGAAGGGGGCTAATCCTGCTCCCTTTTGCTCAGTCATAGGCCTCTGTATCCCTCTTGCACTGCTTTGGCACTCATCTAATTCTTTGCTGAACTGGCTCATCATGCCAATCTGCAGAAATATCAGCCAAGATGGTTTTCTGTCATATTAGCTGTTTTGGTTCACTAAGGGACTAGATGAGCACCAAATTCAGCACAAGAAAGATAGCAGAGCACACCCTGCTCCTTTTCAGCACCAGCAAACTCTTAGATCAGTTTAGCCATCTTGTTCAGCTGAACCACAAGTCACTACTTGTATTTATTTTTCATGTGCCAAAAATATTTGTTAATTTTAATGTACAGTGTATTGCACAAGTTCATAGCTTCTAAAAAGTAGGTGTGCTCAAGATTTTAGTCAGAAGCCTTTTTAAAATTCCAGTGAAATACATTGATAAAATGAAACCTGAAAGCAAAATTTGTCTGCTCCCCCTACCTTTTCCAGTAGAGCAATAAACATACTTTTATACACAACCGGTTGACTAAAATGTTTGTTATCATTGTATCCTCGTATTGTTGTACACTGTGCAAAACCTTCTGGTTATAAGAAGTTCAACTGTCCCGTCTACTTAGATTTTAATTTTTTTGTAGAACATTAATAGATTGAACCATGCACACACTTAAGTACTACAGTTAAGAAGGCATCTAATCAACAGGTTTCTAACTATACACACGTATTAGTAATTTTATTAAATTTTTTAGGTAATAAACTTCCCATGCATATTCTTGCACCTCTGATAGATGTAACTTACTGATATCCATTTCTTCAAAGACATTGCTTAATCCCCGAATTGCTGAACTCAGTGCCAAAAGACATTTAACAGCCATTTGCAGCAAAGTCTTTAAAACTGCCTGTTACAAACTGTATTGACCACCAGAATCATAGCAAAGAACAGCACTCAGCCTATAGTTACCTGCAAAGGCCATCCTCTGAATACCCATAGCAAGCCCTACACTTCACAATACCAGGAAGAACAGCTATAATAAGTTCTCTCTTATATAGTTCATTACGATAGGCAGATCACAAAGTAGCTAGAACAAACTTAATAGAAATTGTTAGACGTGGGTTTTGAGCAACAGAGTTGAAATAACTTCTTTGAGATCACACAGAAGAATCCTTAATAACAGAGTGGAAAAAAAAAAATACAGACCCAACCATTAGAGACACTGACTCAAGTTTTATTTAAAACTTTCCAAATGGTTTAATAACAAATAACATCAACTTGTCACAATCTCAAGATCTAATGCCCCACAGAGCCAGTGACAGTCTTGGTCTAAACACCCTTATGAGGTCTGCAGTCAGCCTCAAGGCCAATACATACCACTACTTTTAAGAGGCATCAGATGTCTCTTGAAAAAGGTTTTAACACAAATTTCCGCTCCCACCCGCCAGTGAAATATACAGACTGGACTAAAATGAGTTTTCAATGTTACTGGGCTTAATGTAATGAAGTAGAATTTTCTTCACCATGAATTACAGGCATCTTCATTTAGTAAAAATAAATTATGGTAGCAAACATAGATAAAGCAGTATTAGAATAGGTTACCAAGGAAACATGGTTCAACAACTGAAAGCAAATAAATACTTGCTGGCTTCAGAAATACCATCTGAAAGGGACATCATGTCAGTCATCAAAAAAATTCAGGAAAGAAAAATAAAACTGTAATACTAAAATTAGATTTTTAATGCCTTATAAATATAGCTTTTTGACTGACCAAGTGCATTTCCAAGGCACCTCAATCAGCCAAATTACCTCACACTTTCATTTTACCTACACTAGGCTTGGTCACTTGAGTCAGGCACCGAATCACTTAAAAAAACCCCAACCAACCAAAACCCAATCATTAGGCAACTCCAGAGCTACCCTATACAGCAGTAAAAGTGTAGAAACTGATGGAACTCACAACTACACACAAGGTCTGCAGTACATTTCAAAATTTCTGTTTATTCATAAATAAACTAGGAGCTACATAGTATAAAACATTTTAAATCAAAACTTAAGCCCCAAGTACTGTAACAACCAGGGTCTTCATTTAAAAGTAGCAAAGACATTCAGAAATAAAATAATTCCCTCGATGTACAACCCCCCAATTATTTCCATTTCATTCAAATAAAGCACCAAGAATATTACGTAAAGTCACTCATCTGAACAACAGAAACCCAGAAACTTAAGTCTTCCCAGAAGACAAGCAAGAATTGTTTTGGGTCCCATGCAAACCAACACAGCTTTTCTGGCTTTGGCAAATCCTTGCGTAACTCCTGGTCCCTGTGTTTACCGACCGCAGAGAAGCCATGTGCAGTCAGCATCAGGTGGAGAAAAAAGCCAAAGGCATCCTATTGGACCTGGAGAATTATCCTAACTACTCCCCAATCCTATTGATAAGAAGGGCTGCAGAAAAGATAACTACCCTTGGTTTACAGTGAATTAACTGTTTTCAGAATCTTTTTCTACGCATGCAAAGCACAAATATGTAGCTACAATGAGAAAAGCTGGTAGAACATCATCATCAGGTAAGAAGCTACCTTCAAAAAAAACCACATAAAAGAATTTGGTCAAAGTCCCCAGACTTTTCAAAGTAAAAATGTGCAACACCCCCACACCATGTAAGAGCAAAAAATAATCAAGGACTCACTTTTTTATTTCTCGGAGGAGCATCCGAATAAGGATGGCCTGCAGTGGCTCAATCATTAATTTTCTCCACATATCAAGAGCTAGCTGTCAGGATACAACACAAGTTTACATCAATAAAAAAATACCAAACCCCTCCCCCAAACAATACTAAAGATGACACAATTCCCCATTCAGGATTTTAAAAATGAAATTGTTAGATACCATCTTCTTTCTCCTTTTTAAATTATTTTGTTTGCCACCCCCTCCCCCCTTGGTCAATATATTAATATATTATGTTAGCATTTTTCATCTAGAGCATCTGACTGCATTTGGATGAATACCACACAGATCTGCACATTAGCAGTGTCAGACACAGAACTTCTAGTTAGGTACTGTCGGAATGCATGCTTCCCAGCTTGCATTCTTCCTACACATCTAAGAAGACTGATTTATTCCTTGGCTCTACTCTATCAAGGATTCTCAAATGCACATACGGACTCTAAGTACGCTGGTTACAAGGACAGGTTTTGAGTGTTACAAAAAAAAAATCTGCACAGTAATAGGTAAGTAACATGCCTTTCTACCTGAAGTGTTTGAATGTGTACACCAGCATTTCTAAAAACAATAGCGAAATAAGCCTCAGCTGACAAAAGGAATGTCTCTTGGCCTTTGTCAGAGACCAGAGTCAAAGATATAGAACCTTATATCCAACATACAGAGAACATCTCCAAACTCAGATGTATACAGCTTAAGCAAAGTCACCAACAAGTTAATATTTTACTTAAATGGAATTCAAATCACCTTCATATTAGAGATAGGTCACCCTATTCATAATATATCATTAGATGGATCGGTCAAATGGACTCAAATATCTCAAAATCTTGTGGGTGAAGTAATTGCTCCCCATAAAAACACAACTGTAATTGTTCAAAGGAGTTTTTACATGTAAGTCAAAATCAGATTTAAAGCCCAAAGGGAATAATGTGATGCCCTCCTGTGTGGGGAATACCCACACATTTGAGATCTCTAAAAACACCTACCCATGAGTAGTAGGCTGGGAAAAAATAAAATTGCCAAAATCAGTAAGGACAGAGAGAATATTACTGCTAAGAAAGCTTTGACACAACTAATCGGTCCTTAGCTTTAAAAAATCAAAATATTGATCAGATATGTCTTAACTGAAAGCAGGCATCTAGTTATTGACTAGGTATCCGATCTGATCTGCCTTGTAAAATAAACCTTCCCTTTTGAAGAGCAGACAAGTAAAGCTTGCTCTGTCTGCCACTGCGACAGCTATCCACTGTCCATGCTGTAGTGCAGGGTCTGGGAGGTAAAGCTGACCCAACTGCATCATAAGAGGTTCAAAGAAGAGGCTTGCTTATAGATCAAAAGACATAACATTTTGAAACCAAAGTTGCCTTAGGAGTGCTTTCCACTATCTTGTCTTGTGGGCAGTGGTAGTAGAACAGTTAGAAGAAAACAGTTTCCCTAAGACATCAGGAACTTATCCAGAAGAGAATGATGAAAAAAGCTAGTTCTGGAGAAAAAGGACAGGACTGACATATTTTGTGACTCTGATATGAAGGGGATGACCTCAGGTAACTATTCTACAACATGGTCTCTGAAATGCAGTCTCTAGCATGGTCACTCTCACATACGATCTACCAAACTGAAGCAGCTTCAAGTCGCCTGTTGGAATTTTCTTGTCAAGTAAACTACAGACAGGTTAATCCAGCCACTTGATGTATTAGTTCAAGAGATTTTTTTCTCCTTGAAAAGAGGGACTGATCTTACTTCTTCACCTAGACTATATAGAACATGGCAGTTTCCTCTATTTTCCAGAATCTGTTGACCCATGACTGGGGGCGGGGGGAACCACAAGGCACATCCTAACTATAGTCTAGCTCAGGACTCACACAGAGTCACTGAAAACTCAGAAGTCTGAAATCGGTGATTGGAGCTCAACTCAGAAGAGTGGTATCCTTCACCATGCATTCATACCACATGGACAGAAAAAAATAATCTCTTGCAAGCACTGGCAGACTACTCATAAACTGATCTCATCCTGTGTTTTTCCTCTTACAATCATTACTGAATGTCTGTAACGCTTATCTGGATGACAAACAGTTTGAAGCCATGCCCATACACATCACATACGCACCTCTGGTCTCTTGTACGTACCTACTGTTACACATCCCAGAAGAATCAAGCAAGCACATACTCGTTTAAGATTACTGAAAAGCTCCCAAAGTTTTATTAGCGCACAGGAGTCACACTGAGACAGAAACTTCAGTACGTAAGAATACAGTTCTGCTTCTACAAATACTGGGCATTATTTCTGTAATTTCATGCTGAGATGAAAGAACTATATATAAAATAAGTATGTTTGCTCTTGGATAGATAAAGGACAGATCATCTTAGTCATCTAAAAATGGATAAATGATAATTCCTTCCATTTTAAAGCAATGAGCAACTGAAATAAAGACTTTTGTTAAAGCCCCTAGTGCAATCCAAAGAATAAGATAGAATCCTAAACAGGATTCATAATGAAAAAGAAAATGCTTTCAAAACAAAGATGTGACAAACTTGGAGAGTGCCTTTTAAATCCAGAAACATGAACTACTTTATTTCTAGGGCAACAAATTAACCAAAAATAGTGTTGCAATTTAATGCATTAAACTACGTGAGGGCAGGACTCGAGTCTCTATTCCTTTACAGAGCAAAGGAGTAACTGTCACAAACCTAATCCTACACCTGCAATGAACAGAGATTAACTTTACTGCCTCAAGATCCAAAATTTACCTCCTATTACTACAGATTACAAAAACAGTATTTGGTAAAGAGAAATGGAAGGAGTCTTGGGGAGTGAGATAATGAAAAACTCACTAGTAGAATTCCAGACATCATCACCCAAACATCTTCATCAAAAAACAAAGGTTACCAGCTACAGTTTAAGAAGCTTGACCTCCCCATAACGTGCCCGAATGATGAGCTAGAGATGCATCATCCTAGGCACAACTGCTGGGAAGCTTGGAAAAAAAGTGTGCTTCCATCCCACTTATGATTCCACAAACAGGAGGAAAACAGAATACTAAAAAAAAAAAAAAAGGCAGGGCAGAAAGCTATGGACAAAAGTTGCCACTACCACCCTTCAGGTGATACCTCAGAATTAAGTAGCACATTGAAATGGCGGGAGAATTCATTAATACATCAGCATCCCCCAGCCCCAAGAACAAGAACAGACCTATTCCCAGCCCCCAAAGCAGCTGAACAGTCATTCACACAGAGTTAAGGACTACCTCCAGCAATCGTGGGAACAGACTCGCCTAAATCTCAGCCTGAGGAAATAAGGAATACACTTATGCCATCTTGAGGAACCACAAACAGTGCAGCAGTATGCACTCCCAAGCTCTGATAAGCCTTTACAGATGCTACTCATTAGCAAGCCCTGGAGACAGCACAGGTAGACAAGAAAAGAATTTCCTTTCCTGAATTGCCTTGACTTAAAGTATATCATATTTCTGGGTCAGAAGCACAGAAGATGCTTCTTTGCACATCACATCTTAATTAAAGGCAGCAGAGATCTCCTGTGTAAAACAATGAAATCCAAGAGCTAGAACAGTAACTGCTGATAGGTCAAGTTCTGACATTAAGGAAATAAAAAGCCTTTTCTCTAGCTTTCCAAACCAAAAGAGAAGTGTTCACTTCCCTTTTAGATAAGATGGCAAGTGTAGAAATGAAAGGGAAAAAACCCAATACAACCCTACAGATAATGACAGAATAAAATGAATTCTCCAGCTAGCAGTGTGTATACATACAGACACAAAGCAAACAGATACACAGACAAGCATTCAGAAGAAAAGTTTCTACTCAACTGTATTCAGGATTGTGGTTTTATTCCAATTCAGACTGAAAAGGTGTTTTCAAAATCTTCTTAAACACTTTGTTTTGAAAAATTTGAAAGAATTTTTTTACTGTAAAATTGTCTTTCTTATATTTCATGGTAACAGTAACCACGAAGTGACAGAATGATGTGCACCACTTCTGCATAGCTGAAGTGCACAGAGTGGTATCTCGGAACACAGTTGTCCTGATGACAATTTTTTACATTTTACAGGTATTTAAAAATTATTTTCAGCCTCTCCAGCTTAGTGTGTCAACACCCTGCCCAAAATTTTTTTTTTTAATAAAAGTTAAGCCCTCCCTACATGATACTTTTGTGCATAGAATGTCTACTTTTTCTTTCAAAATCTCTATCCAAGTTACTACAATAGAAGTACAAAACAGCTTGCATTAGAAAATAAGATATACAGAAGACTAACCTCAAAAACAGTACACTTTGTGACACCAAAAAACCAGAAGCCTAGAAGTATTTCAAGGGCTTCCAAAAACAAAAGTGCTGCTTCTTAAAAACATTTTCTAGATAGTAGTATCACTTAATAAACCAAAGCTGTTTTGCAAAGCGGTATCTATTATCACATTTTAAACTGAAGTTCTCCAATAGTTTTCATATTTCTTCTTTTTTTTCCCCTAGGTCATATATTTTTCTACATGAAAAATGTAATCTCATTTTACAAAGGGTTGAGTGCTTACATCATCTACCATATTTAACTACTCAGATTCTGTGACACAAAAAAGTCAAAATTTAAAAGAAGGACAAAGCTGAACTTATAGCGCTTCTGAACACAGTTTATATCCACTCCCACTTTCAGGGATACCTACCTCTCCTATTTCCATCAACGGCTCATTCATATCCACCCCTCCGTAACCATACTGAAGATCAGCTTCAGTCAATTTGTTCTTCTTAATAAACTGTGTGTTGAGGTACCTATAGAAATAAAATATTCTAATCAAAACAAGCAAAGTTAAGCTATTCTTTAAAATAAATTTGGAATTCTGGAAGGTCTTCCATATCACAAAAGATAACCTCTTTTAACCAATGCCACTACGGTCTGTATGAAATTCTTAAAATATGAATGACTTCATCTTAAAAGACCTTACATCACATTAAAACAGTACAGTGTTAGTAACTGAGGTATCAAACAGTTGCCTGATATCACTGTCAGAATTTGCTTGGTGTGTAATATGCTTGGGTATATAATATACTGCCATATTAGTCATACATGTATATGCAAAACAACTGCTAAATTCTGAGCAGCTGACTAGTATTAGAGTGATATTAGGGGGGTTCTTTTAATGATATCTGAGTATCAGATATTTTTAAGTGAAACATATTTTCTTCTACTTGTGCTGCTTATTATTTTCCATTTCTCTCAAGACTAAAACACAAAAATACTGTCAGTTTTTACATGGCAAATTTTTGACAGTTATGATTCCTTACTCAGGTCATGATAACTAGCAAACAGCTGTATTTCAGATTTTAAAGGTAAGAAAAATTTGCAGAAATTTTAATTAACAATTATGAAAAAGAAATGTTATAAATGCTTTTTTAATTCTAGTATTTAGTATTTACTATTGTATGCATAGTTTTTATTAGGAACAGAAAATAGTTTCTATGCAAGCCTTGATAAAAGGTCCCTCTTCTCAATATTCTTTTAAAAGAAATACAATAACTTTTTAAAACTGAACTATTCTTCCCAGTTAACTGGGAAAAAATCTAGTGTCTTTCATAACTACACTTATATTTGTTATGCTAGTGCTTAAATGAGGTAACTAAGGTTGTTTTTTTGGGGTGTTTTTTGTTGTTGTTGTTTTTTGTTTTTTTAATTCCAATCCAAGTAGCATTTTTGAGACACCCAGTTTCAGCCCCTGAAGAGAGCCAGATTACTGAAGCACTTTTTGAGACTCAAGCTTCAGAGGCTGCATCAGACCAGTGATGTCTGAACACTTTGGGCAGGAAAGCAAACAACAAACAAAGAAGAAAAGGACAAACACACTGTAGAAACCTGTGAACTTGAACAAATTTAGGACACCAGAGTCCACAGAAGGAAGATTTGTGACAGTGCAGCAGTGACAGACTGGAGTACAGTGGCCTAACCTACTTTCAGACTTGAGTGTCTTACAGAGTACTGTAAACTGCTCTGCTACCATCAATAACCAGCATAAATTGTAAATGCAGGTCTGTGTGGGAGGCTACAGGCCCATCATTTTGTACAAAACTTACATGGACACCCAGGACAGCTGGAACACAAGCCTTAAGCAGGCATGCTCCCTGACGGTATTTCCCACCCTCGCCCCATGTGAACAAAGGCAGCAGCTGCCATTCTGCTTCTTCCTGTTAAGCTTGCTAAAAAGGAGAGCCCTATACTCTCCTCATTCACACCCTCTCTCTTCCATCAGTACATGCCTTCTCAACAAATCCAAATGGGGCAACTGATCCACCTTAAAACTAATGTGGCCACAAATAAACAAGTTTATCCTAGATCAGGTACCCCTGCAAAGGCCTACTTGATTCTAGCAAAAAGGAGTGGCAAAAAAGTTAGGTAGAACCACTTGTGGTAAGAGCTTCACCACACTCTGCCTCAAAACCAAAACCAAATTTGCCCACGCTTCCTCTTCCCTTCCCCTACTTTCAACATCAACTTCCAGAACCAAGTGCAAGCACAAGCAAATAACTGCAAAGGATGTGCAAACAGTATAATCTCAAATCAACTTCTCCACTGAAGTCACAAACCATTTTTCACCTTGAATAACTACTTCAAATACTTCATCTGTATCTCTTAGTTTTAGAAGACAATCCATAAGGTTCATCTGTAACTTACTGTGGAGCAAGGATTGGGCATGAATCGATAATACCAGAAAATACCCACAGGCTCTTGCTACTATTGAGATAAAACTTTCAGGTGAAAAATTTAAATACCTGATCACACAGCTCAGGCCCAATTACTGGAAAGTGCACCTGTGCAGGCTTATTGTTTACTGCCTGATGAGGAAAATGGCAAAAAAAATGAGAAAATTGAGGTTTGTTTCTTTTCACGGTATTAGCAAAACAATACACTTTTTGGTACCCAAATCTCAAAACACACCCACGAAGCTTCCACTCCAGAAAGAGGTTAAAAAGTTTGGAGCTTAGAAGAGTGTTACAAGACTCATTGAAAACAAGTACCTACTTTACAGGGGAATACTGAAAGACAGTGTACTGTCTAAATTAACAGTATCAGGAAAATGTCCGGTACATGAATATTTCTGTGGACAATTTTTTTCAGATATAAAGGACATGGTAATTCAGCAAAATAAAAGGACAATTTATTTTACAAGAAATTTAACAAAAAAATAAACTGCAAAAAGCTAATGTAACAATTAGAAGGGTAGCTAATTATTGGGACAGGTTACCCGCTAACCTTCATGTATTTGGTACTTTCAGGTGAATCAAGGACAAGACTCTAACCACAGATTACTATTCTAGACACAGTGACCATATTCCCAGAGCAATGTTACCACATCTCAATAGCCCACAGTGTCCTTAGGGGGACAGACTTTGCAAAGCCTTGTCAGAAGGATTAGATGTATATTTCTTTCTTTCAATGTTTTATTTGGTTTTAGTTGTTTGAATTACCTACTCCTGGATAAGAAACAAGTATTAGTGCTGGCAAAACAGACTTTGTGAAATTCGGCTTCAATGTAATAAACCTAAGAGCGCACCTGTCTCAAGTCAACTCCCGGTTATTTTCTTATGTTCTCCATGATAAACCCAAAAGAATTTACCTCCTTTAATTCTTAGTCCATCCATGATACGACACCACAAAACAAGATGTGATTATATATATTTCTAGAAGCACTGAACTTTAAGCAAAACAGGTAGACACCCTCTATCCAGATTTCTTCCTCCTATGAAAGCTCTCCAAAGACAGGGAAGAAACTTTTGAGTAATCACTCTTCCCATCTCCTCCATCCTGCCCTCCTTCTGCAGACAGTCAGACTGCTATACTGATCCCCAAAATGCACGCAAGTCTAGCAGAACGGCACACAGGAATAAACCTGACCAAGTAATGAGGAAATTGCTTTCAGAAATTTGCACCAAGAGTACCCTGCTAACGATTTTCATAAGCCCTGTAAGTGCTCATGGACAGAGAAATCGATAAAGACCCTATGTGGCAATATCATTCACTCTTCTGATGTATAGGAGGCAATTAAAAAACAACTCATACCTAATTAGCTAGGACTAATTATTACAGTTAGTTTTCAGAAGCATTCAGTTTGTTTTCCAACATTTTCTTCAGTGTACCACTGTAAGAGTCAGTCTGAAAACAGCATTATCTCAACCTTGTCATCAGGGATATCGACAGTAAGGTAACCCCAAAAGTTAGGCTAACATCTTGACATGAGTCTGCAGCAGCCTGCCTGAGATGCAGTTGGTGATCCTGAGAATGCAATGCCAGGCTGTAAGGCCATTGTGCCCTGGACAGAGCAAGGACGAGAGCTGAAAAACTGGTTCATCTGGCAGAAAACAGCAACAGGATAAGAGTGCTGGTATCTGCTTCTTCCTTCTAGAAACCTTGTGAGGGGAGATAACAGCCGAAAGAGGGAACCTTGTAGAGGCAAGACAGCTCTGTTTTGGCTAAAGAGTGTCATGACGTTCTCCGGTATCAGGGTCAAGCCTGAGAACTGTTATCAAGAAGGATCGATCAGCATCAATGGAGCCAAGAAGAGGCGGAGATACAGAGGAAGAGCAAGGTGTGCTACTTGGCATGAAAAAGGGCTCCTCAGCAACCAAACTTTGGAAGCTTTCCCCACCAAGAATCATAATGATCGTTAGGACCAGCAGGATGCTGCCTGGACCTGGGACCATAGGGATGCCTTGGACCCGTGGTGGCAGCTATCAATCTCTTTCCTCTTTTCACTTTACTTTCCCCTTTCCTTTCACCCTCTTTACCTGTCACACGCCACTTTACGGGCAAACAATAAAGTTTCACTGTTTAATTCAAGCAAACCCCTTTGTCGTGGTTGCCTTAATTTTGTACTTTGAGATCACAGCAAACAAACCATCACGAGAATCCACCGAGTGGACCATGACAACCACTTGCACAATTAAATTGCGTGGCAAGCTGCAAAATATGTACACAACCACATGCCAAAGTTATAAACGGGTACGTTTATAGGAAAATATAAAACAGTTACAAGAGTACCAAGACACTGATAAGCCCCAACATCCAGCATTGTCCTTATCTATTATCACCACAACTAACAAAAACAAGCAAAGAAGTCTATTTAACATCAGGTGTTCCTTACTCCATCAGTTTTATCACCTTAGTTTCTTCAAGCATTTACGGGATTTCAATTTTCAAATTGAATCCACATTTACTTTCCTAGCAAAAGGCACCCAGGTGGCTGGATGAAAACAAACAAACAATAAACATTTGATTGCGTTGCCTGTCACACAGCCTCGCATTTTATAAATTTTGCTCAAAAGTCTCAGATTTCAGCAGTATTTCAAAGATTACCTATCAGGGCAGAAGGATTAAGATGAACAGAGATGCAAGCCTATTTAAACTTTAAAGGAATCTATTTAAAGATAATATTAAGATTACTAGCTGTAAAGATTAATCAGTTTTCATTGCTGGAAGAACTATACAAATTAGATCCCAGGATACAACAGAGGCAACTAATTTATGGTACTTTTTTTGAGAACAGACATGCAAGTAAGAAGAGAACTCCGCTTCATGAAAACCACAGTATCTTTTTATGATCTTCAGAAGTACTTCACCCAAAACATTCTCCCAAAAAAAAAAAAACAAAAAAGTGACATAACATGTAACAAAGTGTTTCCAATGCATCAAAGTCATTATGACTCTACTAATCAAGCACTGAATTATTTCTTGCCTTCATGTGAGAGGGTCTTTTAGTTCGCACTACAACGTATGTTTTGTTATTTAACTCACACCCTTTAGAGACTTTTACAACACAGTATATCACAAAACTCAGAATTCCAACACAAAGAAAGAAGATGTAACTTTGAGGTAAAATTATTTCCAACAGAACACCTATCACGTACATTGTCTGGACCAAAACACCATATGCAAAGCAAAAAGAAGAGTTAGAATGGGTGGAGTTGACATGAAATAAATAACTTCAAAGTTTAAGAACTTGGCTTCACTGATACATGAATATCACTCTACTGAGCTTATACGTATGTACAGGTTGGGTTACGTGCATACTCATGTCTGGAAAAAAATGCCCCAGCTCGTCTGAAAATAAAACATTGGGTTCACACTACTGGAGAAGTATTTTAATTTGTTGGTTTATGACCAGAAGAACTCAAGCACTCAGAAAAATCATTATACAAAGCAGAATCAGTAAGATTCATACACATTAAATAGGATTTTTTTCCCCCTCTATCAGCTCTCCAGTTAAGTCATTAACACATTACAGAACTGAAGTTTGCAAGCCCAAGATGGACTCCATCACATTTGTTCCCAGTCTGCTAGCAATAATTTAATACATCTCCTAACATAACAGTAAAGGTATTGAAATCCTTTGTAAATCCTCACATAACACCATCAAATACGTACAGCATTAACGATGCCTCAAAGTTACATTTACCTGCCCGGTATCATATGCATGACGGACACTAGAATGTTCAACCTACAGTCAGAGTGGAATTAAAATCCAAATCCTAGTAAATCCAAGGCCACCTCAATATAGTTATAATTCTAGCAACTCATGAACGGGTGAGCTTTATATGCTTAAGTTATCACTAGCAGCAACGAAACACACTTGCAATTCAGGAAACAGTAGTAGTGTAAAAATAACATAGATAATTGTGGTTTTATTTATAGACTTGGCTGCAATCTACTGAAAAAAAAAACCAAACCTGTAAAATTGATTGCCTGTATACAGTCTATTAGTTTCTGAAGTTCTCAGAAAAGAAACAAGGAGATTTTTTCACTCCCTCTCCAATCCTTGCAGTTCAAAGTTTCACCTGAAAAGAAAGGACCTGAAGAGCACATAGTCATGTCTGAGAGGCTCTTCTAGAAGGGAGAGCTGTGTTTTTGCCAAGGTACCTGGCTAAGCTTTGAAACAAACCACACTGATTCAACTGGACACTTCAATACAATGCCATCCTCGCAGAAGAACACCTAGGATTATGAGCTATTTCACTGCAGGGTTGATTAGCACCAACATATTTGGCACTGCAACATAAGAAACAACAGAGGTAGGACCTATTAGTAATGAAAGAACAGTAGGAATCATCTTAGATAACTACATCAGTGGTAAGGAGAAGTGCACAGAAAAAACTGCTGGGGCATTATTTCTTTTTTCTCATGTTCTGCTACCATAACTATATTCTGTCCAAAACATATTCAGGGGCATATTCAGCTACTGCTCTCTTTAAGCACCATTCTGAGACTTAAGTGGCAAATCACTATAATAATTTGAAAAGTTTAACGACTCATTTGCAAAGCTTACCTGTATAAACAGTCCATATAGTCTGCCCCTTTGCTGTACTCTTCCCAGTATCTGTGATACATAACCAGTACTTGTTCTTCAGCTTCCAGAACTCTCTGTGAAGGAAGACACATACACCCCCCGCTAAAATTAGTATGAAAATAGCATACATACAAAATTATAACAGGATTATAATTTTGGAATAACAATCACATATTCGAAATTAAGACCACACCTAAGTTTCAACCAGTCTAACAGTAACACTGTTGCAACGATCAGATAACTAACAAATCTTCAAACTACAAAGTTTTGGTAAGCCAGCTATGACACCTGAAGTTGCTTTATTTTGCATTTAAAAAGAACAATCTTTTCAATGTTTTATTTTTGTCTTTATGGAAGGGCTTGCTTGAATAAGCATGGTTCATATTCTCACATCATACTGGTGGGATAGTACACATAACTATTCCCTCACCGACATAGATCCATTTTAAATTCAGGCAGCCACATGCGTGCTGGAGGAGTTGCCTAACTATAACCCCTTAAAATCAGTATGCCTTACTGGTTAGACAAGTCCTTATACCAAGAAACCTGGAATAAAACAAGTTTAACAAGTACAGATATGTGCAAACTTAAACATTTAAGTTCTGTAAATCTAGGCCCAAATCTTTTGCAATTTAAGCGAATTATCTCTAAGAAGTTGCTGATGTACTGAACTTCTCAAAATATATTCATAATTCAAAGGAGTAAGCTCAACAATTTTAACTAGTATGATGTGAAAGAGGACGAGATCCTAGGGATTCAAATATAATTCTCTCTAAAGCATGTAATTTTAAACTCCGGCTCAAGCAGCAAAGAAGCATGTGCAATAACATAAAAGAGGAAGACTAGTAGATAGAAACAGAATTGAGAGTGCTTTCCTCTGCAGTATGAATTTTGAGAAAGTTTTCCAAACTTATCTCAAAGACAAATGGTGGACAGCCAATTCAAAAAAACAGATGTATGCTTTCCACTACTTCCCACAGCTTCTGCTGTGCTGGCACCTGCCTGATTATCCGAAGTGAGCTCATTCAGCTCACTAAATAAACGAGGAAGAGTTGTTTGCCAGTTTAGTGAACTGATTTAGTCTACCCAAGTGTCAGAGGTATCCTCTCTGCAACCAGTGGAAGCACCCATTAAGATACCCAGCCTACCTTGTCAAATACACAGGTACCTAAGCTCAAAAAATGGCATCCAGCCATTCAGCAGTACTAACCACAATTTGCAATTCTTCATTCCTTACACAAGGGCAGGTGGACATCTTATTTAAATCTACTTCTCCTTTTACAGAAAGACAAGGAGAGACTGTTCATCCATCCCATACATTCAACATGACAAATCACGATCCTGTTGAAATTAGCTTTCTTAGCTGATAGACAGAAGGTAATTCACAGCTATATAGGTATACAAGTACTGTTATTTGTCATAATAAATAATTTGTCATCAATTCCTCCTCTCTCAAGCATTTTTGTTATTTTATTTCCCACATATTTCAGAAGTTTTATTTAGTAGAGTATACGCAGTTTCCAAGACACTACAGCAGATTCTTTTACATTGTAACAGAAGGCTAACAACAAACTACAGCACACATGGAAAATGAGGACATTTCTCTAACTTATTTGATAAGCATTCAATAGCAGAAAGAACTTACTTCTCAAGCCAATAAATATCTTATAAACCATAATTGTCGGCTTACCGTTCTTTCTTTTGTGTTGCATATAGACACGTACATAAATATGTGTATAAATACACTGTGTTGTGTGATATTTGTTGCATATATCCGATATACTCATATATTCTCTCTGGAACTCTGTCATCTGTGATTTAGTCTCATAAAACCTGCATACCTTCATAAATACAAACCAAACAAAACCCTCTCTAGAAATCAAAAAAGGATAAACAATACCTACATGTACATCAGTAACTGTATAGGTTACCTTGTGCAAATGGCGTACATGATTTTCCAAAAAAATTTTAGTCTCAGTATAAAGTCTCTCTCCAAGAGGTTCAGGATAGGCCACACACAAAGCGTAAATGTCTCTGGGCTCAGAGTCAAGGTTTGCATCTGCTCAAAGCATGAAAAGTGATCAACAAAATTTAAGATTTACATAACTTTTTTTCCTCCTACAGGTGCATTTTAGAAGTTTAATTTTTTTTTTTCTACAGTTGAGCACAGAAGATTAAATGGATCATTTTCTGAAATTAGTGTAAGTCCTGATTTGTGAAGAATCTAAGTTTTCAGCATCAATAATAAAATTTAAGTAGCAAAAGGTGAGGGAATGTTAGAGCTAAGATCCTGAACCTTCTCGTAGCCACATGTTGACACAGCTTCTACCACTTATTTCTTATCCATAAATAATATATGATTATCTCAAAATGAAAAAGCAGCTTTAATCCAAAATTCTTCTTCTGTATCTGCAGCCAATGTGAAACAGTCTCTTTTCGGACAATGAAACGAAGCACGAATTGGGTTAAGAATGCGATTAGCCAAGTATGGAGCCCAGCAAACACGAAGTGAAGCCGACTTCAGGTTTTCCTCCCTTAAGTCCAAAACAATTTACTGTCCCTACATATTTCCCCCAACTCTACAGGTAAAATAATTGTGTAGGACACTGGAAATTAAGTCACCACAATGGTGGTGTTTTATTTTCAGCTGTTATTACCATTTCAGCAATCCTGTTTAGATCACAGCCGCACAGAACAGCTACACTTGCTCACTTAAATGGGCAACAGCAGTTAATCCCCTGAAGGTGGTTTTGTCCTTGACGTACCTTGCAGAGCTACACCTTTGGTTTGTAAAGTTGATATCAAGTTTTTAAAAAGTCACTTGATACTTCATGAAGAAAAGAATTTATGATTATGAATTTTGCTTTCAGAAAAGTTAAGGAAGATTAAGTCAGGCTTCAGGTGAACAACTGTGGGAAATAAACTAGTTCTGCAAAAATTATTTAAAAACATCATGTTCACCCACTAAGTCTAAGCACTTTATAAAACCAGACATGCCAGAAATAATTATTTAGTATAGATTACTTTTTTAAGGTAAGCTCTTTAATTAAGGGAAGACACAAGATCTGCTCTCCTCTAGTCTACCTTAAAAAAAACACATGCCTGTGTAAAAGGAGGTAGAAAACTTAAGGACGGTTGACAAGTCTCCTGCTTAGTCTCCAGAACAGTGTCAGGCTTTCATCACACAGTTTTTCCCAAAAGTATGTTTCATTTTTTATACAGAAGTACTACCCAAAACAGAGAAGATACTGATGTAGGACACCTAAATGGAAAAGAGCCTTTATTTGGCAACTGGAATTTCGGAAAGCCTGATCAGAGTCTCATCTTGAGTACAGTTATTTCACCATATAGATCATCTTTATCAGAATTCTCCTTGGAATGGCATGAAGCATTAAATGGAAACCCCAACAAAGAAAACAGCCAATTTTCACTGCTTTGTAAGAGTAGCTAGCATTACATTACACTAACTTACAAAGCTATGACCAATAAAACACCAAAACAAACTATTACATTGGTAGTGAAGAATGAAAGGTTTTCTTAAACAGATTGTAAAGAACAAATGTTTTTCTACACATTCCCGGCCCCCTCCCCCACAGATTTTGTCAGTTGAAGGATGGTCTGTAGTCAAACGCATCCTCAGTACCTTTCAGATCCCAAGCCTCCTCACTATGCAAATACGGTATTTCTGATAAAGTAAATTCCAGAATTAGAAATCTTTGTGTGCTAACCACAAGTAAAGGGGACAGGATATTTTTTCTCTTTAGATCCACAGCTACACTATCTGAATCACCGAAACTATTATGGGTCTCTGCTACAAGAGCAGCTTACTTTGAAGTTAGAGAAAACAGGCAGTGTTTACCACACCAGCACAAGAAAATAATAATGGCAGCTTATCTGAGGAAAGCAGTGAACAATTATCTCTGAATTGATCTAGCCTCTCTGCCCTAGGCTTCAGTTAGGAGTCACGACATCTTGACTGTTCTAAACAAGTTTCTTCGTGGCAATAAACCTATTTAAGTATGAAAATAGTATCTGTACTTCTTCATGAAAATGTACATCTTCCAAACATGCCTTTCCTTATTCTAGAACAGTCAAATTTTCTTGAAAATTAAGAAAGCTGAATCCAGTATTCTTCCTTGACACATGACACTGTTCACACACCTGCTGAGATTAAACTAACAGCTTAATCACAGAAGCACTTTCACAGGCACCTCACATTTTCCTGTTTCAACCAAATGATAAAAATCAACATCAAATTCTACTTGCTGGATACTAAGTTTCTCCGGATTTCTACAAAAAAGAGCTACCGTAAGTCTCAGAAACACATTACAGAGTGGCTTTGCTACATAAAGTTCACATTCTTGCTCAATTTATTCATCCAACTACATCCTTCAGACCAGAATCCAAGTTTAAGGGTAGCGTTCAAAAATGTTGTGAAACTCTTAAAAAAAAAAGCAAACAACAAACCGAACACCTCTATCATGAATCATTAATCATCACTGGTATTTTACTCCATAAACTTAAAGCATTTTTTTTTCTGTGCTGCTGTCCCTTAGAAGATGAAGAAGCCTTTACTGTTCAATAATTTATCTTCAATGGTGAAAGCCATCTGTCCTTCCAGTCCAGCATGTAGTTTTGCAGGGCATTAAAGGTCAAAGGAAGCTGAAGCCAAACTGCTGCTTAGGGGCCTTCCTCTGGGTTGAGAACAAGAACATGTGCGATTCAAGTGCTCCAGTGGCTCTATTTGAGGGGCATTATCCAGCAATGGGAAACCGAAGCAACTCCAAACGAAGGAGAAAAAAAGTTACCATCAACAAGAAAATACTATATCCAAGGCCATAAAAGCTCACAAATATTGTCCTCAGTGTCAAAAAAAGCATCTAGTTAAGATCATCTATTAACAGAAGGTTTTGAACAGATCTTCTCTAAAAGACCAAAGCAGATCTCTCGGAAAATTTCTGCGATTGTTGGTCTTCCTCTGTACCAGAAACAAAACGCATACAGCACTCGAAGACTTGCAGTCAGAAAGAATCACGATCGTACGAACTTTATTTACCCTTCCTTCTCTTTGGGCCGGTTCTTATGTCAAAGATACATGTTTATAAGTTTCTGGTTCATGATAGGCTCCTTGTAAAATGCAGGATTAGAGAAGGAAGAACAAACACGCAGCAAAATCGAAAAAAAGCAGGTGGCCATGTTGCATACTTTTAAAATAATTTTGTTTGCAGTAGGGCTACCTCCCTCCCTGGGTACCGACCATCCTACTTATCTGGCTGGTGGAAAACGAGATACAACAACAGGAAGACCCTGATGTTCTACCTGTTCAAAAAAGTTCTACTGCTGAAAGGTAGTTACCAAAGTTCAGACAAACTACCACTCTCTAATCAAGAGATTAATCAGCCTCTTAGAGAGCACTCCCTAGACGACTGAACAGTTAGAAGCCAAGTCTTGAAAGTTACACAAAGCATTCATAATAACCAAATTACTGTAAATAGATCTCAGAGACACAACTGTCACTCATTTACCAGATCATGATACACAACTCCAGAAACATTTCTTTCTGCAGAGAACCTTAAAGGAAATCTGAAGGTCAAAGATGGCTCGAGATGACTCACAGTTTAAATAAAGTGACATATGGTCTTTCAAGTGATCTTTTCCAGAAGATTTTAACTCTTACAGAGTTGTGGTTCCCAGCTCACTGCCACTCTAGCATAGTTTGAGATATAAGCTATATTTAAAGATAAGCTACGTTTAACAATAAAAATGCCACCAGAGTTACAAAGAAAATACTATATTCAAGAAGTTCTGGGGAAGTAGTGAGGCAAAAATTAGTTCTAGGAATAGAATATGCACAGTACAAGCCTCTCACCCTTAAAATACTCTTAGTCTGCATATGCCATTTGATCTCAGCTGTCTCAAGCAGCAAAACAGAATACACCGCTGCAGACTGAAGTTGTGATTCTTTGCTGCACCCTACCCTTTGTTTCCACATCATTGTTTTGGCTATAGAAAGACTGCAAAGATCAAGTGGTACTATAATCAATGAAATAACCTGTATGAATTTCATTAACACACAGTTCAAATACTTTGTCACCTTTTTATTGTGCTTATTAAGCAATAAGAAAAATAGTTACTATATTTCCTTTAAAATCCCTGTAGATGTTTAGAAACAGATTACTCCAATTAAATTGAATGTAACAGAATAAAAAGCTAAAACATAACAAAAAACATATTTAGGAAGATGTGGCATTTAAAAATTATATCCTTAAGTTTTCTTTATATATTTAAAACCTGGAAAAAGCTTTCACACCAGCTGTATAGAACTACCAGTTTCACCGAGTTGTGCAATACTCAGTCAGCAGTTTGGGTTAAAACACAGAGTTTGGCTAAACGTAGCAGAAGTACTGAACAACCAACATTTAAGCTGGAAGTTATAAGTCACACAAGCGCCTCAGGTCATTCAGTCACAGAGAGTAAGTCAAAAAGCTCTTGCCTGTGCCAAGTTACACAGTAATAGTGCCACTTTCCAAGGAACATAATTAAAAGGCGATAGTAAGTAAGGTCTTAAGAATTACATGCCAAATGATTCTTCCAAGACTGCTTCCTGAGTCTGCTATTCAAAAGCATTCCCTTTCTGATGTTCAATCAACTGGAGTAAATCCCAAAAGAGGATCAACAGCAGACTTGTGTACAAGGCCTCCACATAAGAATTTCTAACTGAAATAGTGTGACAAGAGGAATCAATCCCACATCTCATTCAATTATTATTTTAGATTTAAATCCATTTTAGGTGCCCTTGTTTAAGTGTTTAGAGCTTCAAGCTACAGAAATTAACCACTTGCTGAAGACTGAAAGATGCAATTCCCAAAAACTGCTTAGAAAGAACGACTACAGAACAATTCGTCAGCACAGAAGTGCACACCTAATTAATTCAAAAAGTCTGTAAATTTTGGAGTCATTTGAACCTAATTAATTCAAAAAGTCTGTAAATTTTGGAGTCATTTGAACTTGACTCCAACACAAGGTGAAGAGTCATGCCCTCAGAAATTAATTACAAAGTTTTAAAATGAAAGAGCTCCTTAAAGATCATTGCACCATAGAACAAGGCTCCAGAAGGACTTTTCATGCCTTTATATACATGCACACACTCAAAACACAGGCACATGGGAAAGCAATTCTGAGAAATGGCAACACGTTCAGAAAGTCACTTTTAGAGTCTAGCTCCTGCACACAGAATAATCTTATACTGTAAAAGCCTACGTGTAAGAACCTTCTCAGGAGCTTCTTTTTTCACCCAGAAGAATTAACAAATTAGTAATTCTAAACCATTCTTCCCCCTCTATAATTAAACCAAACCAAATCAAACTGCTGTGAAACAGCTGCAAAGCCTCCTAAAATTCTCTAACTATTCACCACACTGCAACAGCTAATGAATGCACAGACACAGGGCACTGTAACTGGTTAGAACAGTCACACTTTTGAAAGAAGTTCACTGAGACTTAAATCTTGTAAGAAATTACAAGTCTTTTTTATGTAAAATGCAAACCTTTCACTACACAATATATGTACAGCTGTGACTTGAACAGCAAGACCATATGATCACAACCAGAAACAGTAATTATTTTTAAACATAGCTTAACTGTCAGAAATAGAGAGACAGTAACAGCGGAGGGAAAGGAAGGTGGCTTTTTTATAAACTCTTGCTATAGAAATGTCTCATATGGCAGTCATCACTACACTTAGAAGTGCAAAAAAGAGGGAGACATCTTTAAACAGAACCACCTCACCACACACCCAAATTTACAGATGTGCATCCTCCATCTTAGGTGTTTCCCCTGCTACACACACACTTAAGCATACAAGAAAAACTCTGTATCAGAATAGGAGAAATTCAATGCACGTACTTTGGCCAACAGCTATAGCATAAGCTAAATATTAGAGCTACCAGAAGTGAGTAAAACTCAGTCCAGTTCACTTTTTATTACCATGGTGATTTTTACATGGAATACTTCCCAAATACACAGAATTTCCCATCCCTTTCAACATATCCACTGACCCACAGGCTTAATAACCACCTTACAATGGGCTTCTGATCAAGATCACTGAAATTGCTCTATCACGCAGGCCTACTCCATGCTAAACACATCAAGCACATTAAGTCAGATTTTCACTTAAAGGATACGAGAAGCGATCATTCCACGTCGCTCTTTCAACATAATCCAACATAACAACAGCTTTAATTGTTGTTAAAAGTTTGTTCCATGTTTCATCAAAGTCAACTACTCGTGGTTTCAAGGACATTGTGGGGCTTTACTGTTAATCTGTAGAAGAATTAAACATGTCAGACAACATTGCACAATCATTTTAAAAAGTACATTTCCTTTGAATTTTTCAATTTAAACTTTGTACACTGCTGCACCACCACAATATAGCAACACGAAGAACACTCATCCCTGCTTCCCCACCCTCCAAATGAATGTTGCATGAATAGCCTATAGCATAACACCAATTAATCTAACAGTATTGTGCCTCATGAAGTTCATCACCTTACCAAGCTTTCCGTTTAGCAGTGTCATATGAAGAAAAAAAAAACCACAAACTTTCCTGTAAATTTTTGTTTGTTTGCTTTTATGTAAAGACTGTTTCAGCTGTATCTGACAGAATTTTGGGCAGGAACACTCTGAACATATTACCAGGGTGTTTGAAGTTACTACTGTCAGTTTGTAGCCTATGTTCACCTCAAGCTTTCATGAGACATTTTTGGTGTTATATTTAAAAAGCCACAAAACCCAAAAGCTTTGATCAGGATGACAAAAAGCAAACACATCTAAACACAGAGCATTATGCAGAGCTTGTGCAGCAGGACAAATAGTGAGTTCTTTCAAACAAGGCATGGCTTGAAAACACAGAAGCTGTGTTAGTAATTTCATATCAAAAATAGTGACAGAGACTCATTGAAAGAAAAACATTAAATTACTGAAATAAAACTAGGGGAAAAGGTAATTTTAAAAAAGAGGTCCCGAGAGACACAACTGTGAAGGCCTCTTCTTTGTTTCTATTTGTCTCTGTCCTATCTAGAAAGGGCCCGATGTGACATGCCATGCACAAAGCAAGTCTAATTCCTGCTCAGAAACACAACATTGCAAGACTAAAACAGAAAGTGGAAAGAATACTTCTATTTCTATTTTAATTAGATAGACAAGTGACTCTCAACTTGTCTTCCCAAATTTTCAAGGTCAGGATGGAAAAAATAAAGCTAGTGACACACAGACTTTTAACACAAAGGCACCCCTCTATAAGGGAAATAACCAAATGTCATGCTAAAATCTATTTCGCAACCACTTCACTACCTTAACTGCTACTGGCTCTTGATTTTTCTCAGGCAGATTAGTTCTCAAACTGCAGGATATATACCTTCTCAA